GACTTTCTTTGTCCACCCCATTTCCCTGATAATTTATTTGGTGAACATTTGGCTTCTCTTAACTCCTAACAGTTTTGAAAAAGCATGTACCATTTCTGGGAGAGTTCTTTGGAGCATGGTGAGGAAGGCAAACTAAAATTCATCAGCATTTTTGCTCAGGGGACTTATGCCAGGGGGTGCCTTCATTGTGTCTACATAGCACATCTCAGAGGGAGAAGTGATTCATACTGGTTATTGATCAGTTGTGTAGTCAACTGCTTGACCAAGTTTTCATTTGTTAGGAAATAACAGTCTCTGGAAAGTCTTCTCAATCAATGATGTTGCACTCACCTTATGTAGAAATTGTGCACCCTAACGTTACCCATTGCCTCTTTTGACGTGTATATGAAGCATTCACAATTTACACATCCCTGTGCATGTTACTAAAATCCAACCCATCAGTTTCTCCCATATCCCTCGTTTAAGTGGGGAATGTCTTGGCTTCTGCATTACCTCATGGAAATTCATTAGTAAAAGCATAGGAGGCACAAGGAGATAGATGTTGGCCAAGATGATATGAATGTGGGGAGCGATGCTCTGACCAAATCAGTATGTCAGAGTGGAGAAGAAGAAGGGAGGATAAGACCTCAGCATCACACAGAGGTGGGCAGTGCAGGTGTTGAGGGCTTTCTGATTGGCTTTCTTGGAGGAGATTCTGAGGATGGCCCTGAGGATCAGACTGTAGGACAGGGCAATGAGCATCAGGTCTGAGCCAATGATAGCAAATGCTGCCAGCAAGCCATAAATCCGGTTGACTGTGCCTAGTGTGGAGATCACGGACGTTGGAGGCCTCCCCCCAAACATTGATGAGGTCCACGATCTCCGCACTAGACTAAAGCAGGCTCCTGGGAGCTGCCAGCCTGGTCTTGGGAAGAGGGGGAGGGCTGGGTGGCAGCAGGTGGCTGGCACTAACGGCTGTTAGTTCGAATTAACTTTGTAGTGTAGACATACCCAGGGTGAGGAAGGGCTTAGGGTGAGGTTGTTTCTCCCCCATGGCCAGGATGCCTTTTCTCTGTGGTCTGCAGGGGCCTTCTCTACCCCCTCTAGTTCCTCTGCTTAGGGGGCTTCCCTCCCCCAGTCCCTCTCCACTTATAGAGGCCTTTTCTCTCCCCACAGTCTCCCTGGCTGGAAGGAGCCTTCTCTCTCCTCTTAGCTCCACTATCTGGCAGGGGCCTTCTCTCTTCCCCAACCCTCCTGCTAGACCCCCAGCCCTGCCAGCCAACAGGGGCCTTTCTCCCCCACCCCTATGTTGTAACCCAGGACCGGGGGGTGGGGGGGAAGGTTTGGGGCAGGTTGCTACTGCACCACAGTGGTCACCCTGCAGTATCACATTCCTACAAACAGCGGCTCCCTCCCTTTCCATGTTCTGGAAAACAGTCACATTCCCAGCACTTCCCATTTTCCCGGCACAACCAGGCCAGACCTTGCTTTAAGTTAGGGTAAGAGGAAGCTGTGTACCAAATTTGGTGGCCCTAATATTTAGGCTACGTCTACACTGCAGGCTTCTTGAGCTAGAATGGCCGTTCTTGTGCAAAAACTTGCGGAGTGTCTACACTGCACGCGCGTTCCTGTGCAAGTAAATTTACAGTAAAGCATTAGGACAGAGGGCTTCTTGTGCAAGAGTTATTCCTCTCCCCATGAGGAATAAGCCCTCTTGGGCAAGAGCTCTTGCACAAGAAGGCAGCATAGATGGACAACAGGATTTCTTGCGCAAGAAACCCCTGTGGCTAAAACGGCCATCAGAGCTTTCTTGCACAAGAGAGCATCAACAATGCCATGGACGCTCTTGCACAAGCACATGGCAGTGTGGATGCACTCTTGTGCAAGGCCTTTTGTGCAAGAACTCCTGCACAAAACAGTTCTTGCGCAAGAAGCCTTCCGTGTAGATGTAGCCTTACTGTTTAGGAGGAATTCTTGAACAAATGGACTCACAGACAGTCAGACAGATAGACAGACGTACTCTAAAGCTATGTCTACACTGCAGGCTTGTTGCACAAGAACTTTTTGTGGAAGAGATCTTCTGCAAAACGTTCTTGCGCAGGAGTGTGTCCACACTGCCATGTGCTTTTGCACAAGAGATGTGCTTTTGTGCAAGAGAGAGTTCACACTGCCATGGACTCTCTTGTGCAAGAAAGCTCTGAGTGCCATTCACAGTGCTTTTTCTGATAGGTGCTCTTGCACAAAAAGGCTTATTTCTCACAGAAAGAGGACTAACTCTTGCACAAAAAGCCCTGCCTTCTGATGATCTACTGTACTTTTTCTTGCACAAAAACGCACTTGTAGTGTGGATGCTCCACGAGTTTTTGCAAAAAAACAGCTGTTTTTGCACAAAAACCCTGCAGTGTAGATGTAGCCTTAGATAGATAGTTGGGAAAAGAGAAGACTGAAAGGGCACATGATAATAGCTTTCAGGTACCTAAAAGGTTGTTACAAGAAGGAGGGAGAAAACGTATTCCCCTTATCTTCAGACGATACGACGAGAAGAAATGGGCTTACATTGCAGTAAGGGATGTTTTGATTGGACATTAGGAAATATTTCCTGTCGGAGTGATTAAGCACTGCAATAAATTACCTGAGGAAGTTGTGGAATCTCAATCCCTGGAGATATTGAAGAACAGGTTAAACAAATACCTTTCAGGGATGGTCTGTCTGGTGCTTGGTCCTGCCATGAATGCAGTGGACTACACTAGATGACCTCTCAAGATTCCTTCCAGTTCTATGATTCTATGATTAATCACCTGGACATTTGTTGGCAATCTCCATTTCACATACGCCAAGATGAATTCTAGACACCTGTCTTTTACTTTTCCAACAACAGGAATGGTTAGTGTTGGGACGGCGCGTTGGGGTTCCCCCGTCTCCTGCACCCCCGTAATGGCACAAACAGACTCTACCAGCCAGTAGAATAGAGGGAGTTTATTGCCTCTCCAGGATACAGCACAGCACAGATGTAATCTGGTTACAGGGCAGGCCTAAGATGCCTCAGCCCCCCTTAATATGAGGGGGTCTGGACTCCTAAACCCCAGCCTGTTGCCTAGGCTGCTTCCTCCATGATACCAGACAGAGACTAACCAACTCTCCTCCAGCCCTGCCCCCCAGCTCGGGGCGGCATTCCACCTTCCTTTGTTTCTCTCCCTAGGGGGTAGCTGGTCAGACAGGTTTGGAGCCCCCTTTGCATAATGACTCACCCCCTGCCCTGCTGGGCTGTGCTACAGCCAGTGGAGGTCGCTCACAGCCCCAGCAAGGTACCCCCCACTACGTCACAAGTGTGTATTTCAAAAGTTCCATCTGAACGAGACTTCAAATTCCAGTGCACAAAGTGGTAATTTATTTGCCCCCCTAAGATGATGTTTTATCTTAACACCACTGTCTGGGATTTTATATAATCAGCAGAGAAGTTAATTCTTTCATTTCCGGTCATACCAGGAGTAAATCAATGGGAACACAACAATTCTTTCAGATCAAGGATTAAAAGTAAGTTTGCTCTTTTCTAACATCACATTTAATTAGATTTAAATTCACACAAACATATGTTATAAGGTTAGAACAAAAAAAATTACCGAACATCAGGAATATTATTGATTAACAGCAGGTTTGCAATAGGCAGTTGCTTATCTGCTGGGGAGAAAGGGTGTCAGGAAAAAGGTCTCTCAAGATAGCTTCAGACAACTGCTCCAAAGGGCACTTTATTAGCTATTCTCTTATAAATTCTACAAAACACATGAGTCCTGATGATCCCGAATGGACTTCACTATTTATACCTTTCAATAAACCTTTAATATCACAGGCATCTAGACTCAAGGTTTTTATCTGCTTATCATCTTCCATTCTGTTATTTGTCCCCTCTTCCCATTCTAATTAGCATAAGAACTAAGGGTCACTAAATGAAATTAATAGGCAGCAGGTTTAAAACAAACAGAAGGAAGTACTTTTTCACACAATACATAGTGGATCTGTGGAACTCCTTGCCAGAGGATGTTGTGAAGTCCAGAACTTTAACAGTGTTCAAAAAAGAGCTAGATCAATTCATGGAGGATAGATCCATCAATGCTTATTAGACAGGATGGTAGGAATGGTGTCCCTAGTCTCTGTTTGGCAGAAGTTGGGAATAGGTGACAGGGGTGAGATCACCTGAAGATTACCTGTTCTGTTCATTCCCTCTGGGGCACCTGGTATTGGCCACTATCAGAAGACGGGATACTGGGCTAGATGGACCTTTGGATTGACCCAGTATGTCCATTCTTATGTTCTTAAGGTAGATTTTGATTTTCCATCTAAAATTCAGCTTTCAAATTAAACCTTAATCTGTTGGTCTATTTTATGAATTCTTAATAGCTGACTGCAGATCATATGGTTGCAATTGACTTTATCTCATTCTGGAATATGCACCCCTCAAATCAGGGTAACAAAGTCCACTTCTTGAAAACAGTTTCACACCTGTCACCAATGAGCATTATTAGTAGGACATCCTTAATTCCTGCAACAACATTCCTGTATTTGCATTTTCCATCTGAAACATTTGATTGATACTGTAGGCTTCCTGGGAGATTAGACAGAAAAATCAGGGTCACGTTGCTCACCAGATCGATCATTAAAAAAAGTGCACCATTGTAGCTGCTTTCTTTGTGTTGAGCTATCACAAAACATAGATTTAGTTTGTGAAACTGATCAAGAACTCTGCTCACAATGGGTCTAATAGGGGTTGGACTTGATGACCTCCTGAGGTCTCTTCCAGCGCTATGATTCTATGATACAGAAAACCTCAGTGTCTTTGCTGGTTTGAAAGGCCCTGTGACAAGTTTTGTGGAGGTAGGAGGCTGATGAGTGATGCTGAAAGAGCTCAGGTGATGGTCAGAGAGAGGGAACTCAGCAACATGGAGAGCAGTGCATGGCAATGGAGTGAAAAGACATCAGATGTGAGGAGCTTTTCAGACTGTGAACTTAAACAGTGCTGAGCTCAGCCTAAGTGGGACAGCGCATACTTGATTAACATGGAGATATACCTTCCTGGCTCGTCATGCAGGTTTAGAATGAGTGACCTCAGGCAAGCATATTCTACAGGTGTATTTGCCCACTTTGTCGCGTAGCTCTTTGGTTTTGACCCCATAAATGATGGGGTTGAGCATGGGGGGGAGGAGGAAATAGAGATTGGCCAGGATGATGTGAAACTGGGGAGCGATCCCCTGACCGAACCGATGTGTCAGAGTGGATAAGAGGCCAGGAGGATACGATATCAGCATCACACAGATGTGGGCGGTGCAGGTGTTGAGGGCTTTGTGGTGGGCTTTCCTGGAGGAGATTCTGAGGACGGCCCGGATGATCAAACCATAGGACAGAGCAATGAGCGTCAAGTCCGACCCAACGACTAAAAACGCTATCAACAAGCCGTATATCCTGTTCATTGTGATGTCCCCACATGAGATCTTTGCCACAGCTATGTGCTCGCAATACGTGTGGGGGATAACGCGGCTGGCACAGAAAGGCTGTCGGCTCAGGAAGAAGGGCAGGGGCAGAACGAAGAGAACAGCTCTTATCAAACCCATGAGCCCTAGCATGGCGATCCGTACGTTGCTGAGGATGGTGGTGTATCTCAGAGGGTTGCATATGGCAACATAGCGATCAAAGGCCATGGTCACCAGCACAGCCGAGTGCATAATGGAAACTGTGTGAAGGAAGAACATCTGGGTGAGGCAGCCCCCTAGAGTAATGTCTTTCAAATTGAACCAAAATATACACAGGGCCTTCGGCATCACAGAGGTAGAGGTGCCGATGTCAGTGAGCGCCAGCATGCAGATCAGCAGGTACATTGGCTTGCGCAGGGTCTGCTCTTTGCCTACCACAAAGAGAACTGTGAAATTTCCCAACAAGCTGATAATGTAGCACGTAGTGAAAGGGATGGAAATCCAGACGTGGGCAGGTTGCAGGCCAGGGATGCCCATTAGGATGAATGTGGGGCTGTCAGAAGAGGTGAGGTTGAAAACTTCCATGAGGTGGTCAAGCCGCTGATCGGAGATGCTCAAAGGGCCTGTGAAGGGAGAGAAGCGCAGCTACGAGAGTTACACACAAATAGTACGGTAAATATTTCATAGCTATTACCAATCTGGAAATGGAGGTGAGCAGTGAGGTGGCCACATATAGATGTCACCAAGCTATGTAGGGCATAATCAAGTCCAGAAAAGTCCTCACAGGGAGCTAACCAAACGAGGTGCATGGGCAGTGCGATGGCAGCCAAAAGTTTATGTTAATAACTGCTTCATCTCTGCCCATTGTAGAGAAATGTTTGATCTCCTCCCACACCTGACACGTTTCTAATTTAACTGCATGAACTCAGGTTAGCGGCCTGAGCAGCATGGGGCACAGCTCATAGTGCAAGCCTGCACAGAAACTCAGTAAAACATTGGGATCCCAGAGGAGTGGGAAGGAAAATCATACAGAAAACACAATGGCTACATCTACACTGGCATGATTTTCTGGAAATGCTTTTAACGGAAAAGTTTTTCATTAAAAGCATTTTCGGAAAAGAGCATCTAGATTGGCACGGACGCTTTTCCACAAAAGCACTTTTTGCGGAAAAGCATCCATGCCAATCTAGACGCGCTGTTGCGCAAAAAAGCCTCAATCGCCATTTTAGCTATCGGGGTTTTTTTGCGCAAAAGGGCTTTTACCCGAACGGGAGCAGCACAGTATTTCCACAAGAACACTGACGATCTTATATGAGATCGTCAGTGTTCTTGCGGAAATTCAAGCGGCCAGTGTAGACAGCTGGAAAGTTTTTCCGCAAAAGCAGATGATTTTGCGGAAAAACTTGCCAATCTAGACACAGCCAATGGGTTAAAATCAGTCAAAGATTCTCCCTACTGTGGATTCCTCCGTGTAGCACAGGTGTAACCCACACACAAAGGCTACCTCTAGGCTACAAAGGTAAGTTGGGAATAGATACGCAAATTGCAACACAAAAATCAAGTGGACACTCAAACTGAAATGTGGCTGGTTCAAATCAGATTCAAAAAGAATACTCTCTACTCTCATTAGACTGAGGAACTCAATAGCAAAAGAGATAGCTGAGGCTGTGAGCTAAGCGAGAATGAAGCAGGGTGTGGATATGTACATGGATAGTAAGACAAGCTAGTTACAGCTAAATAAACACTATGGAAAGCCTGTACACCCACGTGATTCAGGTCACAAGCCAATCTCTAGCTGTCATATATTAGAGTGACCCTTTGTGACAGCCAAGATACCACCCTCATTCACGCTTTGTACAACTTCTTCTGCAGAGTCAAGGGCTGTCATTGAGAGAGGACACTGTATTAGATGGACCATGGTTGTGAGACATGATGCAGTTAGAAAGGAGCCAAGATTCCCCATGGAAATAGACTTTATCATGCTGGACTATGAGTAACTGAGGAGCAAATCCACAGCTGAAGTGCCCATGATCAGAAGAAAAATTAATTTTTCATCATCTCTGCAGGCCTGTCTGTTCACCCTCCACTCCCTGCCCCAACTATCTCCAGCATTGGCCATGTCTCTGTGGACACCTCCTGCCTTCCCTTCACACCAAGCACTGCCCATTTGTCTTGTACAGCACTTGCCTGCCCGCAGGACCCCCAGGGCCATCTGCCTGTCCATATATGTGCCGCACTTGCACAACTTCCTTGCCTTCTTAAAAAACGAGCAGCCTGGTGAGACTAACAAAAATGCATAGAATCATGAGTTTTCATGGGTAAAGCCCACTTCATCAGAGGAGTTGGAGAGGAAATAACAGAAACCAAAAGATATACATAACTGCAGAAGTGTCTATCAATTGTAGGACCCGTGTTAATTAAGCGGCTGGATGTGTCCCATGCATAGCTTTTGGTGTGAAAATGCAGATGTTAAAGGCGGGGGAAACTGACAAGCACACCCAGCCCACTTAATTAGCCTCATTAACATAGGTCCTACAACTGACAGATACTTCTCTTACGGTTTTATATATATATCTTGGTTTCTGTTATTTCCACTCCAACTTATCTGATGAAGTGGGTTTTACCCATGAAAGCTCATGATTCTATATATATTTGTTAGTCTCTAATAGTTTTTTAAGTTACAGACTAACACCGCAACCCCTCTGAGACTTTTTACCTGCTTAAAGTTGGTGTCGCCTTCACCGGGGGAAAAGGGCAGACCAGCCTCAGCTGCCTTTCTGGGCATGAAGAAAACCCCAACCATAACTCAGCCAGTGCAGAGACAGATAGAGGGACACACCTGGTGGGAGGCAGAGGACAGGGAATTTGAAAAGAGCCAGTATGAATAACTTCCTCAAAAACACAAAAAGCTTTACTGTATTGCAGCCTATTAGAAACTCAGACAGACCTTCCTGATGAGCTTCAGAAGGGTCGCTGAGTTAGTCTGTAACTGGAAAAACTTAAAAAAAAAATAGTCTAGCATCACCTGAAAGACTAACAAAACATGTAGATGGTATCGTGAGCTTTCGTGGGTACAACCCACTTCTTCAGATGACTGGAGCATTAAGAGTCCAGTTCCAAAATAAATAGGGGTTGGGGGAGGTGGAAAAGGAAGGGGGGAAAATAGTGAATTCGAGTGTTCACGTTACAAGAAGCTGATAGAGAAGGTGCTTAAGAACAATTTGCTGGGTTCTTCCAGATTCATATCCACTTTTCTTGTTAAAAAAGGATAGTGGCAAATATCTTTGATGCCAGAATCCTGGAAGAAGAAAGTCTTTTCCATGCCCTTTGGGTGGCATCAAGTCGGGAATTAACTGAGACAGCTAGAAGGACACAATATGAGACCAAGGGACTGATCTTAAAAACAAATGTTTATCTAAACTATTTCTAATTCATTTGTCTTTTATACTTTACTAGCTAAATCCCTTGGAGTTTCTGAAAATAATAAACATTTCAAATCATAGTGCAGGAAAATTCCAGTCCACGTGGTTCTTCACTTCAGCCCCAGAACCTTTCATGAGCCCATCGTGCTAAATTCAATTCAACTCACCAAAATCCTGTTGAGCAGAGAGAGGAAATCTCCTTGTCACGACAGAAAGGCAGAGCCCTGCAAAGCAGAGTATGAATCTCACACATCTGGCACTAGCGTGCTGGAGAGCGACTTTTATAATTCCCCTGTTCAGTCCCTGTGGACTCTCAGCTTGGCCAGCCCTCGCAGAGAATACCCCTCTTAGAACAGCTGATAATAGACCCTGGAGAGCTTCAGTCTGAGAGCCTCTCCTGGGAGCGAAGGAAAGTTTTGCTGAAAATGGGCCCAGATTGTCAGGACGAACTGAATCTTGATTTTGCTGAAAACAGGGGCCCAGATTGTCAGGACGAACTGAATCTTGCAGACTGTTCAGCCAAGCAATTGATGATGGCTTTCTTGTTGGTCTGTGGTGTGCTGTGCTTGGCACTAGGGCTGTGTCTAGACTAATCTCTCTATCGAGAGATGTAGATTAGGCAAGTCAAAATTGCTAATAAAGTGGGAATTTAGTATGAAAATGGCCACCATTTTTTTCGGCATGGAGCTATGTTGGAGAAAAGCGGCAGTCTAGAGACTGAGCTTTTGGAATATAAAGCCTTTTTGAAAGACCCTGTAAACCTCATTTCACAAGGAATAAGGGATCTTTCGAAAAAGACTTTATTTTCCAAAAGATCAGCCTCTAGACTGCCACTTTTCTCCAACAAAGGTCCTTGCTGAAAAATGGCGGACATTTTTATGGCAATGAAGCGCGGGAAATTTAAATCCCAGCTTCATTCGCAATTTTGATGTGCCTAATCTACATCTCTCTGCCGATAGAGAGATGTTGTCTAGAGACAGCCTAGGAGTGGGAATGCAGCCACAAGATATGAGACCAAATCACCATTTCCAATGGATCATAGCGGTGTATCACTGCATACCGCCCTGGCAGCTGCATAGACAGTCCGCTAGCCTCTGACCATGCACTGCCACCCTCTGGAAGCCAAATGATGTGATTGTGAATTGACCATTATGGGGCATAAAGCTGAAGATATAACTGGCCACTCCCAGTAGGTCACCTACTCTCTGCATGGGGTAAGGGTCAAACTTCAACCCTGTGACTGATCGTTCAGAAATCGATGCAGAAAGAGGTTCTGCAGCCTGTGTCAAAGCGAGCAACGTGGAACACCAGTTGTCACTGTGTGACTGAGTCACCATCTTTAGAGCCAAAATGTCTGGGAGCTGATCTCTGCAAGTGTGTGGATGACACTGAGCTAGGGGGAGAGGTAGATACGCTGGAGGGCAGCGATAGGGTCCAGAGTGACCTAGACAGATTGGAGGACTTGGCTAAAGGATATCTGATGAGGTTCAACAAGGACAAGTGCAGAGTCCCGCACTTGGGATGGAAGAATCCCAAGCACTGTTACAGGCTGGGGACAAGTTTGGCAGAAAAGGACCTGGGGATCACAGTGGATGAGAAGTTGGATATGAGTCAACAGGGTGCCCTTATAGACAAGAATGCGAATGGCATCTTAGGGTTCATTAGGAGGAGCATTTCCAGCAGATCTAGAGAAGTGATTATTCCCCTTTATTCGACTCTGGTGAGGCCACATCTGGAATATTTCATCCAATTCTGGAGGCCCCATTACAGAAAGGATGTGGACGCATTGGAGAAAGTCCAGTGGAGGGCAACAAAAATGATTAGGGGGCTGGAGCAGATGATTTACAAGGTGAGGCTGAGGGATTTAGGCTTATTTAGTCTAGACAAGAGTATGGGGTGATTTGATAGCAGCCTTTCACTACCAGCCCTAGAGGTTTTTAAGTCCCGGCTTGACAAAGCCCTGACTGGGATCATTTAGTTGGGATTGGCCCTGCTTTGGGCAGGGAGCTGGACTTAATGACTCCCGAGATCTCTTCCAGCCCTAGGATTTTATGATCTCACATGGTGTCCCATAATCTATGAGGGAAGAGTCCCTTGGGTGGAGCTAAGGGAGCATGGCATACAAAGACAGTTTCAGATCCCTGATCCTGGGGGTATTTCCATACTAACCCCTGAATAGTTTACTGCTGAGTTGAGATTGTACAAACTGTGGCTTCTCAAGCCAAGAATAGTCAAAGCCAAGAATAGCATCCGGGACATGCCATTGCATATTTCAGTACACCTTCAACAACAGGAGCTGCATGAAATGAAATAGAAGCTGGAGTGAGGAAATCGGTCAGCTTTCCAGCTCCTTTACCAATGTGAATAGAGAGGAGCAAATCTGGTATAAATCTGTTGATGGGAGTGGGGAATGTCAGGCAGCCATAGCATGCTACTTTCTCAGACCCCGCACCATGAGGTTAAGGCTTTGAGTGGATATACCAGAATGGGAGGGGATAAAGCCAAAGTGATGGTCAATCTCTGTGTCATGGCCTTCTCTGACAAACTCATTTATGGACCTGCACAATATTTTACACAGAAGATTTTCTCATTGGATTTTTTTTTTTCATTTCCCCAAGAAAATGCCGCTTTGGATTAATTTTATCGTCTAGGGCAGGCTAGCTGCCATCCTGGCCACCAAAGGCAACATGCGAACCCAGGAGCAGGTTTGCATGAAAATCAAGTTGGTCCAGTGAGACCCCCGACCCTGC